GCCCCCTGCCTCTTCTGCTGCCACTTCCTCCCGTGTCTTCCACACGCCGCGTGTCCTCCAGGCGGGAGAGCAGAACCCAGAACCTTCGGGAGGGAACCAGGTAATGTCACTGCAGGTGGGGGAAGCCCCGCCTTCCAGGGGGTGGCGCCCAGCCTCCTGCCCCGGCCTGTCCTGGCATCACTGACTGATCGCTTTAGCACCTGCTCCTTCTTTCTAGGGGCCAATGCAGGACCCCAGAGAGTCGCCTGCAGGCAGAACCGGGTCAGATGTGCCGAGAGGCTCGGAGACGGGGCCAGACCCCGATTTCTCTTCTGCGATCACTGCTGAGCCCGTGGCTCAGCCGCCACTGGGTCCGCAGCGACCTGGGCAGCGAGCGGTGCCCCAGCAGGTACGATGGGCCCTGGGGACCTGGGATTGGGCCTCCGTGTCCCGGTTCCCTCTCACTCCCCAGTCGGCTCTGAGGGGCCTGGTCCTGCTCTCTGGCCAGGCCATGCCCTCGGCTCAGGGAGCCGTCCTGTGTGCCCGCGTCACAGCCACTCCCCTCCCCGCCGGGTGACCTCCTGGGGCTCACGTGTCTGAAAAACACCTGCTTCCGCACCCACAGGTAGCCGGGCACCACCTGCCCCACACCCGGCTGAGCGGTGGCATCGCTGGACACGCCCCCAAACAGAGTCTGTGCCCCCCCTGGGTTCTGCGGGATTTGGAAGAAAGATCGAATGTGGGAATTGCTTTTTCTTTTTTTTTTAGATAAAAAAGAACTTTCCTTGGGCCCCCTCATCGGCCAGGTTGGGGGCTATGACCGGGACGCCTGCCTTTAAGTCCTGGCCGAGCCCAGCTTCGGACGCAGAGAGGAGAGGCGACTGCCAGAGGGAGGCGCTGGGAGGATGCCCGGGGGCTGACCCTCATCGGAACCCGGACCAGAGCCTGGGTCTGCGGGGTCAGACACCGACCCGGTTCTGGTCCAGACGTAGGAGGGGCACGGCCTCACCCGACAGGCTACTCGGACCCGCTGGAGAGCCGGACACTCCTCACCCGGGACCGTGCCCCAGCCCTCTTCAGGGCATCGCCACTCCCCACACGCCGTGCAAACACGTGCTGTGGAAGATGGTCCACGTCCACGTAGACAGAGGAGTGTGGTTCCTCCCCTCCCCCGCTCTTCGCACTCTCCTGTGATCAATTAATTTCCCACCAGTTCCTGCTCTTGTAGACAGCGCTGCACTCCTCTGTGAAGACCGAGAGGGGTGGATGGGTAACTTCGGCAAATTGTTCGACATTCCACGTGGTAGCCTCATCGTCTAGCGATGACTAGCGCCATCTCCCTTGCAGAGCTGGTGGGAGGATGAAGTGAGTTAGAATTTGTAAAGCTCTTGGGCCAGTCAAGACCAGTGTCCGGAAAGTCGTAAGCACCCCACCACCACGGTTAAATCCAGACACGCACGTACACTTTCCGGATGCCGTGGGGCCGGGTTTGCAGTGCATAGTGCTATGTCTTGGAGCTCTGCATATGTGAGCACACACATGTGCCATCATCTGATAGCAGTGGCAGGTGTTGTACGGATGGACTATAAATTATTTAATAAAATCCTGCCATGGGCAGTTGTGTTGGTTTTTTCCCAGGGATCAGTGTGCTTTAAACATTTCCATAAATGATGAACATGGATGTGCTTTTACTTGCACAAACAAGAAAAAATGTTTGCCCCACGTCGACCCTCAGCAGCTCGTAGGAGCCTCTCCCCCCACAGTGATCCGTGCTGGGCCTCGCAAACTTACACAAGCTTTGCTAAGGAGCGGGCGGGGAGCAGGCTGACTCCGTCCTCGAAGCGTGGGGTGCGGGAAGGAGCCGCCCTCGGGACAGTGGGAAGGCCGCTGCCTGACCTGCGGCCCAGCCGTGAGGGCGGGAACGGGCGTGTGAGTGCCCCATGGCAGCAGCGGAGGCCAGCGAGGCCTGGGCTCATTTTATTTCCTCTCATTCAGCCCCAGTGCTGTTCCCAGCATTTGTACTGAGTAGAGTAACCCCCCAACAGGCTACTTAGATGACAAACTACAGTTTTATCCAAATGCATGAAAAATCTCCTCTGTCCAATACATTTCTTAGAGTTCGCATTTCTGGGTTGGAGACGACCAAACCCAGCCATTGCAGTGCTGGCATCACCATTAGCATTTTCTTCCTGAGAGTAATTGTACTGTGGAGCCAATTGCTTCTTGCAGAGAGAGAGAAAGAGGTGGAGGTGGAGGTGGAGGTGGAGGTGGGGACTGAGTGGGAACATTATTAACCAGCCCTTATGAAGGAGCTGGGAGATAGTAGTTAGGGTTAGGGTAGAGGTTATGTTGAGGGTTAGGTTTAGGGTTAGGGTTGATGGGACATGTGCTTGCTGTTCCTGTGGAATGTCATGTGTGGAATGCCTCGCCCTGACCCGAGCGGGTCAGAATATGTCGGCCATCCCTGCATGCCATTGCTGGATGAAGCTGTATTTTGTCGAAATTCTCTTTAGATGAAAAACATTCATGGCTCCCATGAAAGAGTCCCGATAGTGGAACCGAAAGAAAACCGATATTATAATTCACTGACAGTTCCAGTCAAAACCCAGTGCTCCCGGAGGCGGCTGTTGGCTGCGGAGCTCGCGTGGTGCCGTGAGAGCACCTGTCCCCTGAGGCGTGTGCGTTTGTCCGGACAGGGACGCACTTTCCCACCTCCTGGACCGAAGAGGGGACCTCAGTGCGAAGGCCTCCCTGTTCCCCCTGGGAATCGTCGCCTGGTGGTCGCCATCTCACCACTAGATGGCGCTGTGCTGCCAGGAAACGTGGGTGTCGCGTGGATTTCTCTGTGGCTGTAAATAATGTTGCTGGGGGGCGGGGAAGGTGAGGTGGTTTTAGCCTGGATCCGTCTCTCTCAGTGGCCACTGAAATATTCACCCGGACAACGTATTCGTGGGTTTATTTGATCATCGATGGAGTTTTATTTCAAATAAACACATGCATAGACCGTGTGTGTGGCCTCCCAGTGACTCCCATGGTCATCGTCTAACGCCCACTTTTTCACGGCTTTGGGCCGCCACGCTGAGAGCAGTTTGGGCTGCAGTCTACGGCTGTGATTCCCGGGCTGTCTGGTCCACCGGTTAGGGTTAGGGTTTGTTGTTAGAGTTAGGGTTAGGGTTAGAATTTTAGATTAGGGTGAGGGTTAGGGTTAGGGTTAGGGTTAGAGGTTGGCTTTTGGGTTGGGGTTAGAGGTTGCTGTTAGGGTTAGAATTAGGGTTAGGTTTAGGTTAGGGTTAGTGGTTGTTGTTAGGGTTAGGGTTTGTTGTTAGGGTTAGAGTTAGGGTTAGAATTTGAGGTTAGTGTTATGGTGAGGGTTGGAGTTTAGGGTTAGGTTTAGAGGATAAGGTTAGGGTTACAGGTTAGGGTTATAGTTTAGGGTTAGGGTTAGGGTTAGGATTAGAGGTTGGCATTAGGGTTAGGGTTAGAGTTAGGGTTAGAGTTAGAGGTTGAGGTTAGGGTTAGAGGTTGGTGTTAGGGTT